AAATCCATCTATTCCACTATTACCACCATCTAATTCAAGCAGATTTGAACAAATACATATTTTCTAGAAAAAAGTAAGCAAAGCTTAGAAACTCTTGCCCAACTGTCCCAGCCACAATGCTAGTAATATCAAAGAGAATAATATCACATTGTATAGATATGCACATAAATTTCTAGAGCTAAAATCATATCTTAGCTATTACAAGTCATTAGTTCTAAGATCTTAAAGTCAAATAATCCTAATTTCTATATTTTTTTAATTTATTTTGTATTTTATTTTTGAAAATTTATGATTATGTATTAAATATGAAATTTGAATTTATATCATATTTATTTTGAATTGCTAAGTTGGAAATATATTGTAGGCATCTTGACTATTCATGGCTGCTATATTAAATTTCTAGACGAAAATTTCAAACTAAACCACATCAAATTCAAGCCATCATTTATTATTTTGTAACTAGTTTTCCAAAGCTATATTACAGAAGGAATTTAGAGTTGTATTAGATTTTTGGTGAGTGTCTCAAGTCAAGGTTTTGTTATGGATGTCTCAGTTGCTGAAGGTTGCTAGGATTTAAGAGTCATGGAACATCAGATCTCATTTTTCTTTTAATCGTAGTTCATCTTTTTTGTTTTCCAACACGATGTTTCATTGGTGGGTGAAATTGTATTGAATCAACTACAACTTTACACAGTAGGCAATGAATTGTTGAGGTCTTTGGTAGTGTAGATGGTAAACAATTGATAAGTGGATGATAGCTTGTCAAATGAATCTGGAAAGCTGCATTTTGATAGTCGGGGCAGGGTACATTGGGACTCATACATCACTACAGCTGTTGCTTGTAGATATTGGGTGAATTGGGGGATTCAGTAAGGTTCATACCGATGAAGAGAGATGCTGTAAATGTTAGGGTGTTGTGGGATGTCAGACCACGAGAGTGAAGAGAGCGTACCGAGTGAGAGAGATGCAGGTGAAGATTGAGCAAATGGTTTTCCGATTAAGAAGCTAATGGCCATGTATCTAGGGGGATTAGAAGTGAAGTAGATCTTGATGTTAGTGAAAGCAATCTAGAAGTAGGAGCTGAGAGCGTGAGCGTACAAAGTGGAAAGTCAGAGCTGTCCATGAAGAAAGGGCATTGAGGGACGTTGTGGTCATGGACCTCCTAGTAAACAGACTTATTATGTATGGCGATATGACAATGGTGTTCGTTCTGGAGAGCTCCACATCTCTTTTATCAACCTCATGAAAATCAGAGCTAGTAACATTTGCTTTGACGGTGGCGTTGAGGCAAGAGAAGCTGACCTGTTTAGTGCTCACCCCCTCCAACACTAGGAGAATCTTAAAGTCCAAGATGGTCGAATGGAAGACGGTAACCTACAAGAGTTGAATCAGAGTATTGATAACGACAAAGTGACTAAGTGGGTTGACAAAGGCCCGAGCACGACTCCAGTTCAAATGGGATTAGGAGCTGAGTAGTCTGCCAGCGCCATACTAGCACAAGAGGAGCTATTAGAATCTGACACAAAGGAAATGAGAGCTTGGCTCAGGAAGTCTCTACACCATCCGATGATGGTGATAAGGTAAGCACCGATACATCAGAGGAGTTAGGAGCTCCACATTGAGAGAGAAAACGGATGTAGCACCAAATGCCAATGACGATATTAAAAAAAATGTGGAACAAGTCCTAATGTGATCTACAGACAATGGCGAGATATCAAACTAGGAGTCGTTTCTGAAGGAGAATCTCCTGCAATTATTGAGTCAAGGAGCGAGGAAGTTTGAAAGGTATCTGATACCCTTATGCAATTCAATGGCAATCGCACAAGAGCGGAACAAGCTGAAGGGTAATGGTGGGTGGAGGACAGCACGATGCTTTACTCGAACCAACTGAGACACACAACGATGTCGTGAAGAACATTGATGGAGCATTGATGATACATGATGATACGAGAGAGTTGTTGGACAACAACGATGGTATGAAGAGCATCGATGACACAAGAGGGTAGTTGGAGAACAACGATGTTATGAAGAGCATCGATGATACAAGAGAATGGTTGAACGAGGCAGATCTACATGCGAGGAGATGTGCAGAGGCAGAAACTCTCGCTGAAATTTTTCCTGGTGTGAACAAGCTAGGAGAGCCGAGCGGCTCACCCTTTGGAAGTTCTGTGTTGAAGGAGCGTAGTGTAGAGTGTGCATGGAGGACTAGGCGGGGACAGAACCAAGCTGATCTGTAAGCTGCAAAATAGAGTGTGTGCAAGCCAGACTAGGATTCCAGAAGTTGAGAATTTGCAACAGCAATAGAGCAGCGGAGTTGGCTAAGTTTAGGATTATACTTTTTTATAATACTTGGACTAGGTATACTTAAGTTAAAATTGATTGTATGTATAAATAGCAGAAGAACAATATTAAAATTTAACAAACAATATTCTTGTAAAGTTTCAAATTCATGCAATATTAGGATTAGGAATTATTAAAAAGCCATATAGAATATATATTTAGTTGATGAATTAATTATTTACTTAATGAAATATGTAGTAATTATAGATGTTATCTAATAACCATTTGTGATATTAGATATAAGATTACTATATGATTAGATAAACAATTATACAAGGAATTATTTATTAATTATAATTTTATTAGAATTGGTTAATATAAACAATATGTAATTGCATAGTGTAACAACAAATAACACTAAAGTAAATGTTATAAATTTAATAAATACTATTAATAATCTAGATAAAAGAAGTTAAATAGAAGCAAGTAGATCAATCTTATAATTAAATCCAACAAGTCTTACTACTATGAATATGAAAAAGACAATAATTAGTATGCTAAAGAAAAATGATGAAACAAGATCAAAATTTTGACAATTTTTATAATAATTCAAGTACTATCTAAGATTACATTTTTCTAATATCATAATAGATTTACTCAAGTTGGATTCATATGTACATGCATATCTAGAAGTGTTCTCTCTTAGTTTGCATCTTTTATAGAAAAGGATTTATAACTATTATATAACCTAATTTCATTCTTTGAAGTATTTATGGTGTCGTGATATAATACAAATAATAGGTGAAAGAATGAAGAAAATATTATATTTTAGAAGATCTTATTTCACAATATAATAGTAAATTATCTTAGAAATATAGATAATAATTAAAAGGTAGTAAATTAAAAGTACAAATATTGCTTTTTTTGCAAAGTGAGGTTTTATTTATTTTGTAGGATCGTAAATAAAGCAAAACAAGGTAGGTTAAAAAAAAAGAATATAGACATATGTAATAGGAAGTTAAGAGTTGATTTTAGTAAAAATTACCTCAAGAAGATAAAAATTGATATCCGGAGGGGACTAGTTGTCAACCTCGATTGAAATCAAATCCCAAGGCATAAAACTACATATCTACAATGACTTTGGAGGTCTTTTGTAAATTAAAGAGTGGAATTTTAGAAAAGACTTCATAAGATTTCTTTGAGCATTTATTTTGGGCAATTTGAGTTTATAATAACTTTATAAAAGCTTTACAAAGTGAGGATTTTTTTTGGTGCATCTAGTTTTGTAAAATAAAAAATGATTTATAATTGGAAGAAATTTATGCTTTTGGTAGTAGATCTATGGATGAAAATTTGTAGGTTTATAATTATAGTTGTTTTTATTGCATGCTATAAATTTGAGTATGATTGAGTGGTTAAATTAAAGGATATTGAAGTTCAAGTAGGTTGGATCTTGGAAATGGGGTTTTGAAAGTCACTACGGATTTTTAAAATCTTTAGCAATTTGCTAATTATATTAAAGAGAAACCTATATATATATATATATATATATATATATATAAGTAGTAGACTTAATTTTCAACATATATGTGAATTTTTGGAGGTATTTAATGATGGAATTAAGAGATTTTGGCTTAGAGAAATCAACATCAAGATTAGAGAAAGACGCCAATTAACACTTAAGCGGATTTTAGGATTTATCATCTATTTGGTATTTGTAATCTTCTTCAAAACAATTGTACTTGTTGTTAACTTAATTGTTACAAGGTATGCAAAGTTTGAGTCAAAATTAATAATCAATTATTTACTATTAAATTTTTAATTTATTATAAAATTATTAAGAATCTTATTTAAGATTTAGGATTTGATTAGAGATTAATTAAGGTTGGTTTAAGGTCTAGGATTTGATTAGAGATTAATTAAGGTTGGTTTAAGGTCTAGGATTTGATTAAAATTTAGGATTTTATTTGGATTTTATTAAGATTTATTTAAGATTTGATTTAGATTTGTTTAGGATTTTTTAAACATTTGATTAGGATTTGATTAAAATTTGTCTAAGATTGAAGTAAGATTGTATAAGATTTATTTATGATTTATTTATGATTTGATTAGAATTAAATTGTGATTTATTTAGGATTTTTTTGTATTTCTTTTATGATTTATTTAATAATTTAATTAGACTTCATCAATATTTGATTATGTTTGTTAAGCTTTAATTATAATTTATATATGATTCTATTAGAGTTGTTAGGACTTATTGTTGTAATTTTCTTTTACCTTCCACAATCAAGTATATGGTACATTCTCAAATAAGACTTTACATAATACGATAATGATTATATTTTGAAAAAAAAAAATTAAAAATCCCTATTTTTACAACAAAGATTATGATTAGCTACCAAATATGATATTAAATTTGAAAACCTTGCTTATAACATAGATTAAAATAATAAAGCTCTTATCAATATTAGTGAGCAATGTACAAGAATTTTTATATATGATATAAAAAAATGCTTCATTTTGTTATATAAGCATACTACTTAAATTTTTTTAAAGAAACAACATAATTATAAAATAAGGAGTATAGTTGCCAAAGAAGACAATGTATTAAAAAATAAGTCTTTTAGCTATAAGAAGAATTGTGCAGTTTAAATCTTGTACAATACCTAGTAAAGGTTATATATATATATATATATATATATATATATATATATATATTGAATCTTTTAATTTACTTTATAATAAATATTTATTTAGGATCAAAAAATCACAAAGTATCTGCATTGTTAAATTTAAGAGGTGAGCATCTATATCTATAGGTCTTAAATATATGCTCTTTATTTATGCATATAAATTCAAGATGTTTACTTATGACTTCTATATGCATATGTCTTCAAGAAAAGTTACTTATAAAATCATTTCTATCAATTTAACAACTAATGGTTATAATAATTTAATAATATTTTTTTATTAGATTGTTTTCTAATCCAATTAATTTAGATTTATTAAGATTAGAGAAATATAATCCTAAAATAGACTAATTTTTTTATAAACTTGATTTTTTTCATAGCATAATTTAAATTTTTATTATTAAACTAATAAGTCATAACTCTAAAACAACCAAATCTTTATTAAGAGGTGCAAGAGCTTTTATGCATGTTACAAAAAAAAAGATCTTCTTTTGTTATTTATGCCAAACTCATATTTTATAGCACAAAGACTTTAAGTAATATTTTAAGTTAGTATTAAGATTATTAAGACATTTAAAAAAAAATAGAAATATTCTTCAAGAAAATTATTTTTATGATTACTCAATTGATCTTCAAGAAAGAACCCAATTTTCATTTGGACTAATCTATAACTTATCACAAAACAAGTTAGCTGCAATCCAAGAAGATATTCATGAGAACTTTGCAAAGAAATTAATATGCCATTTGAAGTATCTTGTAGAAGATTATATCTTATTTATAAAGAAAAAAGATGGATCATTGTGGATACATGTGAATTATTGAAGAGTAAACAAGATCATCATTAAGAATACATACCTTCTACCTTTAATATCAAGACTTTTTGATCAATTAATTGAGCAAAGATTTATATAAAATAAATTTACATTTAGAATATAATTTTTTATACATTAAAAAAATAATAAATAAAAGATTAAATTTTGAATTGGATATATAAATTTCAAAAATAATATCATGCCTTTTAAACTCACAAATACACCATTTCTTTTTAAAATCTAATGAATGATATTTTTGAGATTTTTTTAGATGGTTTTATTCTTTTTTATATAAATAATATTTTAATCTACTCTAAGAATACATAAGACTATAAAATTCATGTTTTTATATGTTACAAAAAGTTTAAAAAACAAAAATATATATAAAAATAGAAAATTATGTATTTTACACAATTTAAGTTGATTTCTTATGATATATTATTTCAAATGATGGTCTTATAATGGATCCTAAAAAAATTCATACTATTATAGAATAAAAAATTTCAAAAATAAAAAGACAAATTTAGTATTTCTTATTAATAAATTATTATTTAATCTTTACTATTTATTTTTAAGTTGAAACTCTACTTAATTATTTGACTTATAAAAAAAACATAAGTGGAATAAAAAAGCTAAAACATCATTTAAAGTTTTAAAGAAAAATTTTATTTTTGTACTAATCTTATATTACATTATTTTTTTAAGGTA